CCCTACATATATACATTGTATATATAGTTTTCTGTACCTTACAGTTATACAGTGTATAGTTTTCTGTACCTTAAACAGATATACAGTGAATAGTTTTCTGTACTTTACAGATATACAGTGAATAGTTTTCTGTACCTTACAGATATACAGTGAATATTTTTCTGTACTTTACATACATATAGTGTATAGTTTTCTGTACCTTACATTGTATAGTTTTCTGTACCTTACAGATATACAGTGAATAGTTTTCTGTACCTTACATATTTACAGTGAATATTTTTCTGTACCTTACATATATACAGTGTATAGTTTTCTGTACCTTACAGTTATACAGTGAATAGTTTTCTGTACTTTACATATATACAGTGAATAGTTTTCTGTACCTTACATATATACAGTGTAAAGTTTTCTATACCTTACAGATATTCAGTGTATAGTTTTCTGTACCTTACAGAGTATAGTTTTCTGTACCTTACAGAAATACAGTGTAAAGTTTTCTGTATTTTACAGTGTATAGTTTACTTTACCTTGCATATATACAGTGTATAGTTTTCTGTACCTTACAGATATACAGTGTATAGTTTTCTGTACCTTACAGATATACGGTGTATAGTTTTGTGTCTTTTACAGATATACAGTGAATAGTTTTCTGTACCTTACAGTGTATATTTTTCTATACTTTAAATATATACAGTGCAAAGTTTTCTGTACCTTACAGATATACAGTGAATAGTTTTCTGTACCTTACAGTGTATAGTTTTCTGTACCTTACAGAGTATAGTTTTCTATACCTTACATATATACATTGTATAGTTTTCTGTACCTTACAGTTATACAGTGTATAGTTTTCTGTACCTTATAGATATACAGTGAATAGTTTTCTGTACCTTACAGGTATACATTGTATAGTTTTCTGTACCTTACAGTTATACAGTGTATAGTTTTCTGTACCTTACAGTGAATAGTTTTCTATACCTTACAGATATACAGTGTATAGCTTTCTGTACCTTACATATACACATTGAATAGTTTTCTGTACCTTACAGGTATACATTGTATAGTTTTCTGTACCTTACATATACACAGTGAATAGTTTTCTGTACCCTACAGTGTATAGTTTTCTGTATCTTACAGATATACAGTGTAGTTTTCTGTACTTTACAGTGTATAGTTTTCTGTACCTTACAGTGTTTAGTTTTCTATACCTTATAGTGTATAGTTTTCTGTACCTGACAGATATACAGTGTATGGTTTTCTGTTCTTTACAGTGTATAGTTGTCTGTACCTTATAGTGTATAGTTTTCTGAACCTAACAGATATACAGTGTATAGTTTTCTGTTTCTTACAGTGTATTATTTTCTGTACCTTACAGTGTATACTTTTCTGTTCCTTACAGTGTATAGTTTTCTGTACCTTACATTACATAGTTTTCTGTACCATACAGTGTATAGTTTTCTGAACATAACAGTGTCATTTTCTGTACCTTACATATATACAGTGTATATTTTACTGTACCTTACAGATATACAGTGTATAATATGTTCCGTACCTTACAGTGTATAGTTTTCTGTACCTTATATATATACAATGTATATTTTTCTGTACCTTACATATATAGAGTGTATAGCTTTCTGTAACCTACAGAGTGTAGTTTTCTGTACCTTACAGTGTAAAGTTTTCTGTACCTTACTGTTTATAGTTTTCTGTACCTTACATTGTATAGTTTTCTGTACCTTACATATATACAGTGTATAGTGTTCTGTACCTTTCATATACACAGTGTATAGTTTTCTGTACCTGACAGATATACAGTGTATAGTTTATGTACCTTACATATACACAGTGTATAGTTTTCTGTACTTTACAGTGTATAGTGTTCTGTACCTTACAGCGTATAGTTTTCTGTTCCTTACAGAGAATAGTTTATTGTTCCTTACAGTGTATAGTTATCTGTACCCTACAGTGTATAGTTTTCTGTACCTTACAGTGTATAGTTTTCTGTACCATACAGTGAATATTTTTCTGTACCATACAGTGTATAGTTTTCTGTACCTTACATATATACAGTGTATAGTTTACTGTATAGTTTTCTGTACCTTACAGTGTATAGTTTTCTGTAACATACAGTGAATATTTTTCTGTACCATACAGTGTATAGTTTTCTGTACCTTACAGTGTATCGTTTTCTGTACCTTACAGTGTATAGTTTTCTGTCCCTTACAGTGTTTAGTTTTCTGTACATAACAGTGTCATTTTCTGTACCTTACATATATACAGTGTATAGTTTACTGTACCTTACAGATATACAATGTATAATATGTTCTGTACCTTACAGCGTATAGTTTTCTGTTCCTTACAGAGAATAGTTTATTGTTCCTTACAGTGTATAGTTATCTGTACCCTACAGTGGATTGTTTTCTGTACCTTACAGTGTATAGTTTTCTGTACCTTACAGATATACAGTGCATATTTTTCTGTACCATACAGTGGTTAGTTTTCTGTACCATACAGTGTATAGTTTTCTGTACCTTACATATATACAGTGTATAGTTTACTGTATAGTTTTCTGTACCTTACAGTGTATAGTTTTCTGTCCCTTACAGTGTATAGTTTTCTGTACCATACAGTGAATATTTTTCTGTCCCATACAGTGTATAGTTTTCTGTACCTTACATATACAGTGAATAGTTTTCTGTACCTTACATATATACAGTGTATAGTTTACTGTACCTTACAGATATACAATGTATAATATGTTCTGTACCTTACAGCGTATAGTTTTCTGTTCATTACAGAGAATAGTTTATTGTTCCTTACAGTGTATAGTTATCTGTACCCTACAGTGTATAGTTTTCTGTACCTTACAGTGTATAGTTTTCTGTACCTTACAGATATACAGTGTATATTTTTCTGTACCATACAGTGGTTAGTTTTCTGTACCATACAGTGTATAGTTTTCTGTACCTTACATATATACAGTGTATAGTTTTCTGTACCTTACAGATATACAGTGTATAGTTTACTGTACCTTACAGTGTATAATTGTATAGTTTTCTTTACCTTATATATATACAGTATATAGTTTTCTGTACCTTACAGATATACAGTGTATAGTTTACTGTACCTTACAGATATACAGTGTTTAATTTTTCTGTACCTTACAGTGTATATTTTTCTGTACCTTATATATATACAGTGCATATTTTTCTGTACCTTACAGATATACAGTGTATAGTTTACTGTACCTTACAAATATACAGTGTATAATTTTTCTGTACCTTACGGTGTATAGTTTTCTGTACCTTATATATATACATTGTATATTTTCTGTACCTTACAGATATACAGTGAATAGTTTTCTGTACCTTTTATATATACAGTGTATAGTTTTCTGTATCTTACATATATACAATGTATAGTTTTCTGTTCCTTACAGTGTATAGTTTTCTGTACCTTACAGTGTATAGTTTTCTGTACCTTACAGTGTATAGTTTTCTGTACATTACAGTGTATAGTTTTCTGTACCTTACAGTGTATAGTTTTCTGTTCCTTACAGTGTATAGTTTTCTGTACCTTACAGTGTATCGTTTTCTGTACCTTACAGTGTATAGTTTTCTGTACCTTACAGTGTTAAGTTTTCTGTACATAACAGTGTCATTTTCTGTACCTTACATATATACAGTGTATAGTTTACTGTACCTTACAGATATACAATGTATAATATGTTCTGTACCTTACAGTGTATAGTTTTCTGTACCTTATATATATACAATGTATATTTTTCTGTACCTTACATATATAGAGTGTATAGCTTTCTATAACCTACAAGAGTGTAGTTTTCTGTACCTTATAGTGTATAGTTTTCTGTACCTTACAGTTTATAGTTTTCTGTACCTTACAGATATACAGTGTAGATTTTTCTGTATGTTACAGATATACAGTGTTTATTTTTCTGTACCTGACAGTTATACAGTGATACAGTGTATAGTTTTCTGTACCCTACAGAGTATTGTTTTCTGCACCTTACATATATACAGTGTAGTTTTCTGTACCTTACAAAATATAGTTTTCTGTATGTTTACAGATTATAGCTTTCTGTACCTTACAAAGTATATTTTTCTGTACTTTACAGAATATAGTTTTCTGTACCTTACAGAGTATAGTTTTCTGTACCTTACAGATTTCGATGCAAAGTTGTCTGTTCTTGTTTTTGTTTTTAATATAAATGTTGCTTTAGACAAGGACTCAAATGTTAGTGACATTTTACACAGCAAAAGGATAAATAATGAAAACTTGGACTCAGAACTATGTGAAGATATATTTGCAGATAAAAAAAATCATTATTGCTATCAATTTATATAGCAAAGAAACTTTTAATAAGTAAGCTTAGTTCTTGCAATAATAAGTAAGTAAAATCAGGAGTGAGACAGAAAAGGACAGATTTTGTTCTAAATTAACAGTTTATGGGAGTGAGACAGAAAAGTACAGCTTTTGTTATCAATTAACAGTTTGTGGGAGAGACCCAGAAAAGTGCAGATTTTGTTATAAATTAACAGTTTATGGGAGAGACATAGAAAAGTACAGATTTTGTTATAAATTAACAGTTTATGGGAATATGACAGAAAAGTACAGATTTTGTTATAAATTAACAGTTTATGGGAATGAGACATGATTTTGCGATGTCGATCAATAATACTCTTTATTAAAGGTCTGGTGGCATGTGGCACTGCATTAAGTCAGACTTGGACAGATAAAAGGGTAGATTATTGTTCTCCAACTAAAACAGATGATTATGTTGAGCTGGGTGTTTCTAACCTGATGGAAACGTGTTTCCTTACTGTTAGAATTAATGCTATCATAATTAAACAGATGTGTGAAAGCTTATCTTTTAAACTTCTATAAATTTAACCATCCAAAACCGAAAAAAAAAAAAAAATAGGAAGTTGGCATTGCAACATATCAATGAAATATTTGGGATTTTACAAAATGTTTCTACTTACATTGTCTGATTCATCCATTAGTTAAACTTGTTCACTTGGAGCCTGGATCCAGGTGGCTTTCAGCAAGGTAGAAATCTATAGGGAAACAGGAAAATGATTAACTTTAACAGGAAAGATTGCATGATGTAATTAAAGAAACATTTAAGATTCTGACAAAAACAGAGTTGGTGGTTTCATACTCTTAGCAACCTGAAATATTCATGAGTGTTAGACAAAAGATTGTTGAACAGACCCCAAAAAGTAAAGAAGAAGCCCCATGTATGAATAATTAACATATATCCAAAACATTTTCTTTCAGGTAACTAGATAACTAATATCCCTACACTTCCTTCAGACGACCTGACAAATACCCCTACACCTCCTTATGACTAACTACCTTACTAATACCCAACCACCTCCTTAAAACTAACTACCTTACTAATACCCAAACACCTCCTTCTGACTAACTACCTTACTAATACCCCAACACCTCCTTATGACTAACTACCTTACTAATACCCCTAACACCTCTTTATGAGTTGCTACCTTACTAATACCACAACACCTCATTAAAACTAACTACCTTACTAATACCACAACACCTCCTTCTGACTAACTACCTTACAAATACCCAAACACCTCCTTCTGACTAACTACCTTACTAATACCCCTAACACCTCCTTATGACTANTTACTAATACCCAAACACCTCCTTATGACTAACTACCTTACTAATACCCCTAACACCTCCTTATGACTAACTACCTTACTAATACCCCAACACCTTCTTT